TAAGCCAACTGCAGGAGAATCCTACGGATGTTGCCTGGAGGATGTTGCCTAAAGAGAATTCTTAGGTACTTGAAAAAAACCTTAAATTTAAAATTGATACACAAAAGGCTCATTTGGAAAGGGCTAACTTATGTTTGTATGTAGATGCAGATTGGGGGGGGGAAGATACTTATAATAGGAAATCAATTACTGGTTACTTTATAATGTTTCCACACTCTCCTATTATGTGATGCTGTAACAAGCAAAAGTGTATTGCACTTTCATCAACAAAAGCTGAAATAATTGCTTTATGCAAAGGTATTCAAGATGTTTTATGGATAGAAAATGTAGTAAATGAAAGTTCCAGTGTTAAAAATGTTTATATTTTTGAAGATAACCAGTCATGTATTAAGAGTATTGTAAATGAAATTTTTCAGGTAGGTTGAAAGATATACACTGGTGTGCAAAAATTAAGGACGAGACGGTTTTTTCAATATAACTTTGTACAAAAGCTTTCCAAATCAACACATTTAATACCGTAAGATCCCCAATACGTAAGGACATGAGTAATGTAAGCAATACTTACTGAAAGAGAAATCAGAGGGATAAAAAGAAGCTTTATTGAAAAAGTAGCATGGAGCGCAATGCAACTGAAGGCCGAAACATACCTGTGATGGGTGTCCAGCAAGAAACATCCGGTCTTTAATTGGGGATATGATCTCCCCTGACTGCTAGGCAGGTTTCACAGCGTCTGCCCATGCTGAGAATGAGTGTCAATGAGTTGTTGAGGCATTGCTGCCCATTCGTCTTGCAGCGCCAATCGAAGCTTCGGAATCGTTACTGGTGGTAAGGTATGAGCTGCCAAGCGTCTGCCTAGAAAATCCCATACATGCTTGATGGTATGGAGATCTGGAGATCGTACCGGCCAATCCATACGTTTAATATCCTCACTCTCTAAGAGCTGTTTGGCAGCTACTGTGCGATGACATGGTGCATTGTCGTCCATGAAAAGGAACTGCGGACCCATAGCGCCTCTAAAAAGATGCACATATGGAAGAAGAATCTCGTTACAAAATCGGGTCCCGTTGACTGAACCTGCATCGAAGATGTGAAGATCTGTACGACTACCAAGCATGATGCCTCCCCAAATGAGAACACCGCCACCTCCATACCTTTCCCTTTCAATGATGTTCGAGGGATGATTGCAGCTTCCCAGCTCTCTCCAGATGAGTATGCGATGAGAATCGCTACTCAGACTGAATCTGCTCTCATCTGTAAAGAGTATTCGTCCCCATTCATTGTCTCTTCAATTCCGATGTTCCCAGCACCACAGAGAACGCCTTCTCCAATGGGCAGGCGTTAGAGGTACACATCAGACAGGGCGTCGTGCAAACAGACCACCACCTTGCAGTCTTCTGGCCACGGTAAAACGCGATGTCGGTCGTCCAGTCGCCTGTGTTGTGTGTCTAGCGATTTCTCCCGCTGTCTGCCGCCTGTTTCTTCTGGCCTGTAAGGCAATATACCGGTCATCTGCAGGTGTGGTTCCTCACGGACGACGACTACTAAACCCCCCAATAGCTGTTCCTGTAGTTTGAAATTGTCTCCAAAGTCGTGAAACGACGCTGTGAGCAATTCCAAACTCTGCAGCCACACTTGTCACACTACGGCCTTCCTCCAACTGCCCAATGATTCGACCTCGGGTAAAAGCATCCAGATGTCGTCTAAGAGATTGATTATTCGGCCATTTCTCGCTGAGGCAGCAACTCGGTGTGATTTTAACTGCTATACGGCGTGCAATCTCTTTGCCAGAAATACTGATCTTACACCGACAACATGCTTTATACTACTCAGACACTCCCCCATTACGTCTACCTGCATATTTGCGCATGTACATCACCTTACTTAATCTCCTGATTGGTCTTTCTGTCCGCTCTGCCTCTTCGTTCAGCTGATATGCTAATTTTTCGACTTCGTCCTTAATTTTTGCACACCAGTGTAGATATAAAATTAAAGTTCACCCGTAAGACTGTTAAAAAAATAATATTCAAATTGAATATGTAAAATCAAGTTTACATATTGCAGATATGTTAACTAAGGCTCTGCCCAAAACAAAGTTCTATGAACTGTTATCATTGAGCTGTTTAAAATTGTGTAATTCTTCTACCTTTTCTATAATGTGCAATTAAGGGGGAGTGTTGAGATATTTGTAATCGCATTCTTATTGGTCAAAAGGAAGTATAGCTTTCTGTCATGTCCGATTCATTAGCTTTCTGTCAGGTCTGATGTATTCTGAAACTTAATCCCATTCTATTTGTTTATATTTTCTTTATGTTATTTTGATTGGTTGTTTTATGTGTCTTGTTTATGATGTGTTAAAACATGATCTGTTGTAAAGTTATATACAGTGTCTCACAAAAGTGATGGGACACTTGTGCTTTACAAAAGGAAACTGTAGTAAAATAAATTAAGAAAACATGTAAAACATTTTTGTGGGTGTGTTTCATGCTTAAATTTAGTAACAATTATTACATAACATACATTTTCTGAAAATATTACAATATTAATTTAATAAAAATATAATTTGTTTAGAACGGAGCAAAAAATGGCTCACATAAGTGATGGGACACTTACTTTTCCATCAAATATTTATCCAAAACTTTTACTTTTTAAAAGGTTTTAATATTTTGTTGGATTTCCTTTTACTTTTAAAACATGATTTAATCTTCTTGGAATGGATTCGACTAATTTTTTTTTTTTTTTTTTTGTGATTTCTGGAGTGATTTTACCTCAACTCTTCTTGAAGCACCGATTTTAATTGTTGTTTTGAAGAAATGGTGTGTTTGCGAATTCTTGATTCCAATTCTTGCCAAATATTCTCTATGGGATTTAAGTCTGGAGATTGTGCTGGCGTTTTTATTATTTCAAGCTAGTTATATAGCAGCCAGAGTCTAACGTTCAAAGCAATGTGCTTGGGGTCATTGTCCTGGTAGAATTTAAAATCGTTATGAAGGTTCAATTTTCGTGCTGAAGATTTAAAATTTTGATTTAAAATGTCAATATACTTGTACTGATCCATTATACTGTCAATAAAAACAAGATTACCAACTCCAGCGGACGACATACACCCCCATACCATAACTCCTCCTCCACCATGTTTTACTGTTTGTACCAAGTTCTGTTTACGAAATTCTTCCCTGGGTTTTCTCCACACCAAGATTCTACAGTCAGAACCAAATATATTATATTTACTCTCATCAGCAAATTTAACTTCATTCCAGTAATCAGAATTCTTATTTATGTTGGATTTTGCGAAAGCCAGTCTGAGTTTTCTATTCTTTTCACTTAACGAAGAATTTTTTTCCTGGCTGCTCTACCGTGATATCCAGCATATCGAATTACTCTTCTAATAGTCTCAGGATTAACAATTACTCCATATAATGCTTGTAAATCAGCAGCAACTTTAGGAGCACTCATTCTTGGATTTTTTTTTAATATTTCGAACGATAATTCGCTTTATTCCATTGGATAGCTTTGATGGTCAGCCAGGTGTTCTTTTATCCTGAATCATATGATTCTTTTTATATCGTTTAATGATCTTGAAAACTGTTCAATGACTGAAGTTAACTGTTTCAGCAGTTTTCCTTATAGATTTTCCACATTCAATATGCAAATTAATAACTAATATTCGAACTTCAGGCAAAGTTTCTTTTTGTTTAGCATTCATGGCTGCACAGAGCTAAAAAAACAAAATTCCAAAACAAACTGGAGAGAAATACTGCAGACGATTTATAAATTATTGCTAATTGCTTTGAGTAAAAATAAAAACCCAAAAAAATTTTTATTGTAGTACGTAGTAGTATCTAATGGTGTCCCATCACTTATGTGAGCCATTATTTGCTCCGTTCTAAACAATTATATTTTATTAAATTAATATTTTAATATTTTGAGAAAATGTATGTTATGTAATAATTGTTACTAAATTTAAGTATGAAACACACCCACAAAAAATGTTTACATGTTTTTTTAATTTATTTTATTACAGTTTCCTTTTGTAAAGCACAAGTGTCCCATCACTTTTGTGAGACACTGTATATAACCTCTGTAAACTTTTTCACTCTCTGCATATTACTCTGTAATAAATGTTTGTTTTCAAACCACGGCATTTTCAATGTTCAATAGAATAGAATTTGAAGAATATAATATGGAATTAGCATACACATGAAGAAATATGATGCTGTCTATGTATGAGTATGATCCACAAAATATATGAATTAAAAAGCAAAAATTATATTGAGATCGTCCTTGTGTGATACTATTTCCTATTTTTTTGCACATTATTTAATATTTTTAAATAAATAAGAACAAATATAAAAATGATATACTGTTTTGAAATTTTATTAAAAGGTTTGCTTTTAATACCAATGGGTTAAGAAATAAGTTATTTAACTCAAATAAATAAATAAAATTTTAATGAATGATCATTCATTATTATAGATATGAATTATTCATAAATTAACAGGAACACTTGTCCTTACTACTGCTCAGTTAATTATTTAGTACTAGGCCTGTATAAGATCATTTTCACACTATCTTCTGAATAAATAAAAGGCCTTTAAAACTATTTTGGGAATTGTCATAAAGTTGTTAACAACATACAGTTTTTAGTGAAATTTTAAAGTTAATTTGTGTTTAATTTCCTTGTCAATGTTTTTATTAAGTTTTGACAATACTTTAAATAAATATAAATACAGCAAATGATACAAAAATGCAAATTTTTAAATAGAGGACTAACTAAAATTGGTAAAAGTTATGTCAAATAATTGATCATTTATTTACTGCACATTGTTTTAGGGATAATGGTATTTCCCATTTCACAGATTACATTATGTCCAATGTTAATTTAATATTTACATGCTTGGGGAAACCACATTAAAGTTTGTGCGACTTACTGTACTGTGATGCCATACAGCACTTCTATGCTATGCTTGTATGTACTCAGAAAAGCATCATAAAAAACTTACTTGCAGATTATTTGATCGAAGATCCAGAAGCTCGAGTGTAGAATTAGATCTCAGCAAATTTCCAAGTTGCAAACCATCTGCTGAGCAAATTTTATTATCCCCAAGATATAATTCAAGTAATGTGTTGTTCAGCTTCAAAGCAGCAACTAAAATTGTCACAAATTCACAAATAAATAACATAATCAATAATACATATTAATGCAAACACACACAATAAACAAGATTTTATTACTAATTAAACATACTCTGTATGCATTTATTTCTTCTATTATTTTAGATTTTCATGCAAAAAAATTATTATTCTGGACTTAGCATTTTCTAATTATAGTACTGTCATATTTTTAGTAGCTAATTATATTTTAACCACTATCTGTTTTTAAATGAGCAGTTAATGGTTTTTTTTTTTTTTTTTTTTTTTTTTTTTTTTTTTTGTTTTACTATGAAGACCTTCCTTGTTAGTATGCTTCTTTTCCAGCAATTTCAGTGTATAAAACTTTATTGTTAAGACTCTTTTTATGTGCAATACTTTCTTATTCAGGGTTATCTTAATGTCATTTCATACTTAAATGAGGTATTAGCACAATAACCCTTTCAAAGCAGAGTTTAATTTTATATAAAGTTTTTCTAAAGATAACATTTACATAAAAGTTATCCTTTAAAAACATGGTTTCAAACTGCATGTGGGCCACATGTAAGATCTGAAAGCAATCAACAGGCCAGAACAATATTTTAATAAAATTTAAACACATGTTTAAGAAAATAAAACAAAAACTAAATTTTAAATTTCACTCACTAAATATTTAGAAAAACATACATAGCAGTAATAATAATAATAATAATAATGCAAAAGAAAAAAATTTAACTAATAATTAATAATGCAAAAGAAAAATTTATACTAATTTTCTGTCTGAAATCTAAATGTTAGAATCTCAAATAATGTTTTATTATTATTATTATTATTTATTATACCTTTAAAATTCAAACATACTGTGAGCTAATTATTAAATTTTAGATTGACATTTATTTAAGGTAATTCTAGTATGTTGAATTAACCACTAAGTAACTTACTTTTAGCCTAAAATGGTGAATTGGAAACATCAGCGTACTGAAGCACTATCAGCTGCTGGCTAGCAAACAAAATTTTCCGACTGTACCAACATGGGAAATTCCCTCACTTTAGTTATGTGGCCGGGCATACAATCAAACAGTGACAAAGCCCTAACCTATTCATTCTACCTTTTTTTCTTTCAACAACAGCACCATACATAAGCTCAGTCTAGATCTTTAGGTCTAAAACTACAAGCACCATATCTGCACCAAATACATATTTACAATGTTTTCGTGGGCAGCATAAAATTGCTTCAGGGACTGCAAACAGACTGCAAGTTTGAGCCATATCTTAAAAAATTTTTACATTAAATAGATAAATCATTGAAATATCTTTTTCTTTCAGCTCATTCTATTTCAAGTTTTCCCTTTGACTTAAGAACTTAAAGACCTTTTATTTTCTGAAATGTTTATGCCTATTTTTGAATTTAAAAAATGAACTTGATAAATTTTGTTACCAATTTAACTCAATATCTTGCGGTAAACTTTTCATAGCTAATAATTTCTTAAAAAGTATTACTATAGATTTAATTCAAATTTGAATACATTTTTCCTTAACTTCTTTATTTAATTGACAATATTTTTCTTACATGTGTTGTAAAATTTCATAGCTTAAATATTTTATTATAAAAATTTTGTAAATTAATAAAAAGATTAAAATATTTTTAAACTTTCTTTAATAACTTTATGAGTGAAATTCAAATAGTTTAAAGCAATAAGAAATATATAACTTAAAAAAAAATCTGCATCTTAAGTTTTCTGTTTAACATCTTTTTTAAGTGCAGATTCACATACATGGTTCTAATACAAAAATCATGGAACATTTTTAATACTGTGACATCAATATGAAGATTACTTAATTAATAATTCACTACATATATAAACAACACTTTGACCTAAAATTTGAAGAATGATTTTTTTTTTTTTTTTTTTTTTTAAATTTTATCAAAAATTGGCTGCTTGCATGTTAAGTTAAAATTAATATTAATATAAAGGTGGGTTAAAAAAGATTAATTCAAAATATTTCTCAAACCTAATATGACAAGTGGCCTTCCAAAAATGCCACAGCTTTCTAAATGCAGGGTAACGAGATATGAACCAGTTCGAAAGGCTCTGCCAAGTATCAGTAAACTTTGCTCATTTTGAGATGTTTTGGAAGCATCTAAGTACTGCAAACATGGAGTCTATAGAACAAAACAGACATATATTAACATAAAAAATACACATTAATTTGTAAAATCATCAGTAATAGTTACCAATAATGTTTTTCATATAAGAAAGGCCCAACTATGGCTGAATAGCAAAACCATTGAAGACCAGTTATTCGACTTGGATTAGAACCCAGCAGACTGGCTGCATGGGCATTTTCATGGTTTGCTCCTCATGTAATGTAAATACAAGCTAGTTTCCTTTAAAGTCTTCTACAAAGACCTCCCTCCCTTTATGCATATAATTGTCACATGCTTTTTCATAATTAAATCTAATAAATCATTTTCACATGCGAAAGGAGAGAAAAGAAAACTATTTCCATATGAAACAAAATATTGCAAAATTCCACTAAAGAACCAAGTGAAAAAAGACAGTATTGAAAAAATAATAACATCCATGTAAAACTTTTATTTTATCTTACACTACTTTTGATAAATGTAGTAAATAATAGAAAAAAATTATTTAGCAATCACAATATTTTTTCTCATGCATCACTAAAAATAAAATAATTGGATTGACATGAATGATGGATTTTACATCTAAGCTGCCAAAAAGAAATGAAATTTAAGAAAATGAATTCACTCACTTTTATATACACTACTGCACTATTCATTCTACTTTTCTTTGAAATTCTATTAGTCTCAAAGCAATTCTTATATTTCTGTCCCATGATTTTATATTAATCACAAGTAACCATTTTACATTAGTCTGTAAGAGGAATTTTATACTTTTTACAAGAAAAAAAAAGTGTTCTGCCATTAAAGTTATTTGACAATATGGAAAAATCATACAAATATATATGGCATTTTACTATATTTTTATTCCTAGGATTCACAAAATCATTCTTCTTAGAGCTAACAAATACTAAGGGCAGCTTTGAAGAAAGTTCTGATGATCTTGCTTATGGTACAAGAATGCAACAGAGAAAATTAAAAATAAAATTTCTCAAAACTACTTTTTGTTACATAATGTATCTTTTCACAACAATATAATCTAAAAGGTTGAAATTTTTAAGGAGTAAATCTCAGAACATTGATACATATTTTAATTACAGCTTATACAGATATTAACTGCATATATAAAGTTAAGAAATGTAAACAGGGTTTCTACACATTTCTGCATATGGAAATTAAGTACTTTTAAGGACCATTAATGAAAAAATTAAGGACCCATCAACAATAAATTCAATTATAGATATTAGCTACGTCGGAACTTCACTTTTGTGATACCATCATAAGAATAAAATAGATCCACCAGAAGAATACATTATTATTATACATAATTTAATAAACATAATTATAAAACAAATTTGAGAATAAAATCAACTTTATAAAATTTAACAGGTAGCATTATATATTTTACCCTTATAATAGTTCAACATATTTGAAGGAAGATTAGTGACACTTTATTTACATTTTACTACCAGTTAGCTTTTTGTTGTTTTTATCCTTTATGTCTCACTTTGTCACGTACTTGCCCAGTTCAGAGGTTTAGTAAATAGCAGGTAGATTTTATATCAAATGGCATAGGTTAAAATGAGAAGTAAAATCATAATCAGCATGATTCGTTACAGAAGACTAGCTGTTGCCACCACTGCTACCTGCTGATCAGAACAAACCTGAAAGCCTGATGTAATGATGGTTGGCATGTTTTGAAAGTTAGTTTGCGCTCTGCCTGACTGACGCAGTTAGTATCATAACTTTGTGTAGAATTCCTGAGGTTAACATATTTTAAGGTTCCTATAAGCCATTGAAGCATCAGAGGTGATCAGATGTTTTGCATTATTTTTAGTCTCACTAGATGCAAAGAATTAAGTTTTACATTTTTGTGCTGTATTTTGTGACCACAGTAAAGATTAACGAAAGGCAATAATTCATTTTAATGTGCAGAGATAACTTTTAAGGGTGATCAGTTAATTACAAATAATTAAATTAGCTAGATAGATATCCTTAGTTATTATAGATTTACATGGCCACTATTAAACTTATTTTTTAAAAATATTTGTTAAAAAAGCACTATTAAATTCCCAATCTATTAACATGTCACAGTTTAAAATACATGCAATTTATGACAATGACTCTTAAATGATATTAAGATAACTACATATTAAAAGCTATAAAACATTTGCATTTTGTAGCAACAATACTCAGATATTTAAGCATCTTTTAATTTGAAGCCTTTCCAGACATTCTGGCTAATTTATATCAATTTCCTTCTCTTTAAGCATCTTTTCTAACAATTAGAAATTTGTTTCAATAAGCAAACCAATATTTCCACTTGCTTCTGGGTGTTTTATCTCCTAACTTATCAATCTTTCAACTATGTACCTATGAGGTTTTATTTGATCTGATAAAAGTTAAATACTCCAAAACCTCTGACAGAAGTGAAGCAAATTATCGCTACATCTGAAAGAAAGTCATACAAAGATTTAAATAAGCTTCTTATTTAAAAGGAACTTTGAACATAAAGGCATGTTCCTATGCTAAGTCAATTACAGCTTGAGGTGATGTAATTAAACAAGAAGAGTCAAATTCAAACTAAAAATATGGACTAGTGGTCAAAGACTATACAATTTAATTTCATTTTAAGCTGGCTCAGTAATTCTATTGTCATAAAAAATTGAAATGTCAGCAGTGGTAAAGCAAAGATGAATAATTACAAATTTTCACAGCTGGCAAACTAATGCAGTGAGCAAGTGAAGATCAGAAACACACTCTTGTCTCACACTCCGAAAACCTAAGTGAACTGTCTAAGTGGTCACTCTGGTGAAAAAAAATAGAAATGGGAAATTGTAGTGAAGACAAATTGTAAACAACTGGGTAATTTACATAATAATAACTGTACATATCTTCGAAGAATAACTTTCTTTCTCTTTATGTATTCAGTTTCTTTCTTCCACATTTCCTTTTCATTTTAGAATTTTTGGATTTAATTAAAGGTTTCTGTTATTCTAAAAAAACTCAATGCATTTAAAGTGCATAGAAAAAGCTGCTAATTTGATTTCTTTAGTAACGTGAAAATTCAGAAAAAATATGAATTATATATGGTAAGGTCCGGGTTACAGAGCTGCTGTGGTATAATTTTTAGAATTTAGTGACACAACGAACAACAAAATCTAGAAAGAATTTAGAACAAGCACTGGAAGCAGAAATTAGAAAGGTACCAGGGAGCAGAATTTAGGATCCACAGAGATTGCATCCTGTGGGAAAATGCCTAGCGCCAGCCCTGTGTATGATGCATTAAGGCATATTAAATGAATCTTTTAAATCATCTTTTTCAATTTAAATCATCAATTTCTTTATTAAGAAAAAAGTCTTTTCTATAATGCCGATCCATATCGTGTCTAGTAAAAAGTAGAGAAAATAAAGGGAAGATAAAAATGTTAAGGAAAAAATTCTAGTATCAGAACTAAAACATTCAACTATTACGTTTTCATTGTTCTTCCAGACGTTCTCCAAAAAGTAAGAAATTATGTGTTAATACCATGGAGACACTTCATTTCGTCACATTTTTCTGGAATCTTCTAGAATCATGGGTCTATAAATCTTGCCTTTAAATTCTTCGGAACTTTCCAAGCTGCAATGTCTAAAATTCCAAAGAAAAATTACCCCTACCCATTCTGTCACAGCAAAAAACCAAAACTATTTTAGAAAGAAAAAAAAAAAAAAAAAAAAAAAAAAAAAAAAAAAAAAAAAAAAAAAAAAAAATTGGATAGAAAAGAGTGTAAAATTAATTTTATAGAGAAACCTGATGCATATTCTGAGAATTCTGAATATTCTAAGACAATTACATGGGAAAACTCTTACCATGAAAAAATTACAAAGACATTTTTAATTAATTACATAGCTATTTTGCTATTGCTACGAACAGTTTCATAAATTGTGCTTCATAGCATTATATCTTGTTTATTTTTTAGATTCAAAACATTGTATAATAAGTGGCCAAAATAGAACTTATAGTATAACAGCAAAAAATAAAAATGCTTTATTTTAATATTTCTTAAATATAATTACAATACATTACCATTTACTATGTTCTAAAAAAATCGTCGAAAAATTCCCAGACCTCAGAATTAAAATATTTTTATAGAAACTGATCTCAAAATCACCAAAATGCTGATAAGTCGCCGAACCGTTTAATAAAAGAATTCACATCTTCAAAAGTGAAAATTTGTTTAAGAGCTCTTCATTACAAAAATTAATGAAATTATTTCAAAATGCTTAAGTTTCACTTATTGCTCAGAAGTTCTATCCCACCATTTATATTAGAAATAGGAACAAATTAATACCCATGAACGCATTTACACATTCAAAAGATAACCATACTTGTCGGCGAATCACCAAAAGTATTCCTTCAAAATGCTAATTCACACTAAATGACAGTTGTAAAAAACAGAAATTTCAGATGATAAATACTAAGGACCTTCTCCCGATTTTGGCCAAAATTAAGGACTTTTAAAGATAAAAAACTGATTCCAAAAAACTTAAGGACTTTTAAGGACTGTACGAACCCTGTGTAAACTTAGTTTGGTAATCTTTCATATATTTTAATTCATACATATTAGGGAAAAAAGCCTGCTGACAACCAAGTAGTTGGTTAAAATATCAACAGCTAGTTTAAAAAAAAAAAAAAAAAAAAAATACAGTCTTATTATATTCTATGGAATGTTATATCAAATATTTCAAACTTTAGGCGAAGAAACACAGAATTTTCTTAAAATTTGAGTTTATTAAAGAAACAGAAAATCTTCGCATTTAAAGAAGATCATGAAGATAAAATCTTTCTACACATATGAAATATGTTTTTTAAATTCAGTTTTATAAAGAAAAAATTTAAGAAAGATTGGTACATGGGAAAAAGTTTCATTGACGATAACCATTCTCAAAACAAGACCATTGTTATAAGAGATAAGAACAACATATTTAATTTAAAATACAGCAAACAGGCAACAACTGAGACTCTAAATTCAAATGTATTCTTGTCTTTATTCTAGTATCTGCATGTAAACTCACATAAATAGAATAAAGAATGACAAGTACCAGATATCAAGTTCTCACATACATAGTTTTCTGCAGAAAACTGGTTAATGTTGTCCTATAACAAAACAGTTCTGAAATGAAAAATAATAATCTAATACAGCCATATACAACTCAATTAAAATATTCAAAACTCTTACCCTTTTTAACATTTTGGAACATGCTTGCCATCCCTGATTACCAATACCTTTGTTAGATGAAATATTTAAGTGTGAAGTTGAATCATAATATTCAATCATGTCAAATATAGCTGCAGCACCCTAAAAATGAGAGAAATACAGCCTAAATCCATCAAACACTTCAGCGCTTTGTAACATAGCCTTGAAAAACTGAAATTTATACATTTTTGGTGGGGAGAAGCGGAAAGAGAGCACACTTATATGTGATGTCGGTTTTATAACCAGTTAGCAAATTCGCTTTTAAAATTTTGGCGTAAAGTGCAGTTATTTTGTATGTACAAGAAATTACAATTACAGATGGTTACATCAGAATAAAATTCAAATCTTTTTTTTTTTAAATTTCATCTTGGTACATCTCTCTTTGAAGTCCAACAGGTGACGATTATTTTCAGAGGGGGGGGGGTTCAGTTTTTCTCTTTAACCCATTTGTATTATTCTGCACAGAAATTTTCTAAATGCTAGTTCAAAGTTGTCTGGAAGAAGGAAGAAATGCAAGTTTTGAGGTCCGGAATATGAACTACATAAATGCTAAACACAGGCACAGGTTTTCAACAGCTAATAAATTAATTCTCTGCAACTTTCTGTTTTTCATTTAGCAATCCATTTCGCATACACCACATATCGCATTAGTTCCCTCAACTGGAAACTAAATGAAAAATGTCCTCATCAATTTTTGCTTCACTAGTTTTTGAGAACTTTTGTTTTTAGAAAATGAAAATCATGTCCTTTCCCCCATTTTAAAACAGATTATTGGGTTTTCTTCACTCTAGATATTAACCCTAGCAACACGTTTATATGAATCACTGCCTGTAAATACAGTTATTACAAAGAGTTATTGCCTTCAAAAAACTTAATGAACCACACAACAATTCAATATAAAATAATTAAAAGTTTCTCCATCCTCAAATGGCCAAAGAGTTTTGTTCCAAACCTCATTTCCCAAAACTGCCGTGACAGAGATGCATTTCTTTAATTATTAGATCAAAATATCCCTGGTACTTTATACATGGACTCTTTTAATATAAATGTTATATATATATATATATCTACATGTGGTGTTGTAGTTTTGGCAGAAGATAAAACCAGTTACATAGATAGAATGATGAAGTTGCATACAGACTTGCCTGAATTCAAAAAAGGATAAAGCCCTTCTGAAGGCCCAATATTTACTTTACACAAGACTGCAATATGAACTCAACAGTAGTAAAAGTGCATGTTATAAGCAAATAAGAAAATAAAAATATTGATCTTTTCATATAATACTATAAGACAGTTATCTTGTATAAGGAATGAAGGTTTTTATGTCATTTGTATTTAAGCATCCCACAGCTATCAGCAAGTAGTTATTCGCTTGTAAAGGGCCTGTCTAATTCCCATGGAAGTTTATTTTCTTATTATTACATTGCATTATATTTGTTCATTTCTGTGTATTACTTATTACATTGCTCGACAAGAAAATCTTGTTTAATAATAAGTAGTAGTAGTAGTAGCAAAAGTAAGTCGTTTTGTTTAATAATAAGTAAATACAATCAATTTTAATAGAATTTCATGAATATGTAATAGAAATATTTTGACCTTATTATGATTACAACACTTAGTTTCTATGACAGATTTTTAAAGATGACAGGAACTCTCAAAAGTTATATTGTGAAATTCAAGTTAAATTAAAAGAACTGTGCACTTCTCAGTTATTTTGTGAATAAATTCAGACTCAAAATTTGAAATATTTTTATATTTGCTAAAAATATTTCAAGATCCTTAAAAACGTATCGTTTTCGATAATTTACAATTGGACTAAAAAATATAGTCAAAATTTATATTTTTAAAATTAAATAAATAATTATTTTTGCCAAAATTTTAAGATTTATATTTTTTACATCATGCTTCTCTTTATTTACTACTGCTTTAATGCTTTTATCTTCAAATGCTTATCACCAAGCTTTTTCGTTCTTAAAGAGGGGGATAAGAAATTATTAACAAATTACTATTGTAATGGCAATAGCCTTTTAAATTCCTAATTTCAATTTAAATACATCCCCTTTCATTCTGCATCACTTATCTGCAGTCACGTGTACTACTAAAACTCTTACCCAAACGCTATCCTGAACTCAAACAAAGAAATTTTAAGCTATAAATACTCCAGCTGCTCAGTGCCCTTTCTCTTTCAACACTTGCTAAAAAAGTCTCTTCACTTAGCTGCATTCTCCATTATTTAAAATGTAAGTCCACAAAAATAAATTTTTGCTGTAATTAACCAAGTGTTTGTGGCTTTCCCAAAATTACATATATTTAAGATGCAAACCACATGCTCTCTACTTCCAGTCATCTACTATGGCACTGGTATTTCATTTGTCTTCTTCTAATTTCATTCCACTCTAGTCATGACTGAAAAATAATTGGTGTAATATATCTATTATATAGATATTTTATCTATATATATAGATATATATACAGACATATACGAAAGGCTGTTCATCATTTTAAAATATTCCTTGTAATTAAGACACAATAACACCCGAACAAATACTAATTCAGAAGTCAAACAACAAAAAATCAGCGTTATATTTTCAAAAATTTTCACAGGACTAGTTTCGATGGTTTTACCGAACCACCATCCTTCAGCTGCAAAAACCGCAAATGAACAAGATAAGAAATAATGATTAGATAAGATAAGAAAGCCTGGACAAGAATAAGCAAGTGGCGCCATCTGTTGATGAAACCAGAACTAAAACATAATTTCTTTAAAGGCCAAAGGCAAAGTTGGATTGGAATTAGGATCATTAACTAGAACAGAAAGATTTTTTTTAATGTGAAATGCCTCTAGAAAATCCAGTTCTCCAATGGAAGATGTTTTTTGAATAATTTTGGCAGCAGAAAAATTGAAAGTGTGATTTTCGGACCAACAATGTTGAGCAACAGAAGACTTCTGTGTTTCCTTTTTCTAACATATGCCTCATGTTCCTTGACGCGAAATTTTAAGGCTCTCTTAGTTTGGCCAATGTAAATTAAACCACACTGGCAAGGAATCCTATAAATACCCCAGGAATTCATATCCAGAATGGGGTCCTTGAGTATGGAACTCGGAATTTTATTGATGGGAGAATAAACAACCCGAAAGTTAAATTTCTGCAAAATATGTGCAACTTTATAGCTAATTGATGGAAAGAAGGGAATGACAACAGAATTTTTATAATCTCCTAAAACAAGAGTGTGCCTTTTAGTGTGTTGAGATGAGAATTTTTTAACTGCTTGATTAATAATGTTAGGTGAAAAGCCCCTGTCAATAGCTATTGCTTTTAAATAATTTAGTTCTTCATCAAGGGATAGTTTGGAGGAGCAAACTTGAAGAGCACGGAAAACATAGGAATAAAATGAAGCTAACTTTTGTTTAGTCGGATGACATGATTTAAAGTGTGGTGGAAGGCAAACCGAATGAAGGTTTACGGTAAACCGTAGTACTGAAGTTGGATGTGTTATGTGTGACCAGAATGTCGAGAAACGGAAGAGAATTGCAAGTCTCAAGTTCAAAAGTGAATTGAATAGCAGGATCAATAGAATTCATTGTTGAAAGAACTTTATTTAAATCATCTTTATTACCTTCAAACAGGGTAAAAGTATCGTCTACGTAGCGGAACCATGCCGGGAAGTTTAAAGTTTCAAACAATTTTGATTCCTAATAATGCATGTAGATATCAGCCAGGATGGGAGTGAGGGGGCTTCCCATGGCTAATCCCTCAGTTTGCTTGTAATATTTATTTTGGAAAACAAAATGTGTTTGTTTCAAACAGAGTTGAGTGAGAGAAATTAGCTCATCAATTTCGATGCAAGAGAAATGAAATTCACGAAATCTGGTTTCTAGACATCTTAATGCACCTTCCACTGGAACATTGGTGAATAATGATTTTACATCAAAAGAAACCATGAGTAAATTTCTAGGAGAAATGTTTTAACCTTTTTTACAAACTCTATTGAATTTTTTATTGTGTAAATGTTATTGTCTAATAGAGTTGAAAATCTAGAAACTAAATATTTAGCTAATGGATATGAGGCAGTACCTAAATTTGATACAATAGGGCAGAAAGGAATACCACTTTTATGAATTTTGGGAAGAGCATATAATCTGGCAAAATTCGCAACAGATGAGATAAGCGAATGTTTTAAGTTGCTTGAAATGATTTGTGAAAATTTGATTGCAGTTTTTCATTTTTGACAGGTCCGAAGGTGAAGGATCTTTAGGGATCGGATTATATGGTCCTTCGTTTAAGAGTTTAGTGACACCATCAATGTAAGTGTTCTTATCCATGACAGCTATCTGGCCACCTTTGCATGCCTCTGAAATGATAATATACGGGTTAGAATGAATTTCGCGCATTGTAGCTCTTTCTCTCACAGTTAGATTTGGTTTCAAAGGTTTATTATTGAATTTCACATTATGAGCGATAAGATGCCTAATCATTTCTTTCTGTGAATCTGAAACTTTGCTGAACTGAGGCATATGTTAGAAAAAAGGAAACACAGAAGTCTTCTGTTGCTCAACATTGTTGGTCCGAAAACCACACTTTCAGTTTTTCTGCTGCCAAAATTATTCAAAAAACATCTTCCATTGGAGAACTGGATTTTCTAGACGCATTTCACATTCATAAAAATCTTTCTGTTCTAGTTAACGATCCTAATTCCAATCCAAATTTGCCTTCTGCCTTTAAAGAAATTATGTTTTAGTTCTGGTTTCACCAACAGATGGCGCCACTTGCTTATTTTTGTCCAGGCTATCTTATCTTATCTAATCATTATTTCCTATCTTGTTCATTTGCGGTTTTGCAGCTGAAGATGGTGGTTCGGTAAAACCATCGAAACTAGTCCTGTGAAAATTTTGTAAATATAACGCTGATTTTTGTTGTTTGACTTCTGAATTAATATTCCTTGTATTTACACAAATATTTTACCTAAAATTTTTGTGCTCTAAATGTTCTGTTCGATAACCCATATTCTTCAATATTTTTCTACAACATAATTTCAAAAACAACACAGCCTTTTGTAGTATCAAAAGAGGAAATTTATCCTGTTCCTTTTTAACAGCTTCCTACAGTCCAAGAAGGGCTGTAGGTCGATGTTGAACAATCTACTTTTTTAAAGTCCCAAAGCGGAAAAATCCTCGGGTGATATGATAGAAAATTTAGTAGGGATATGAGTGAGATAAACATTTCTCATAAAGCATTCTGCGATAGGTTGTAGAGAAAGACTGACACACATTATATTTTTCCAACTTTTTAAGATTTAAATCAGTATTAATCACTTTGTTTACAGTTGACAATGAGCATTTTAATGATTTTGCTACTGTCTCTTTGACTCGACTTCCCAGAGTTTCTTTTAACATTAAAGATATGACCTTTGCAAAATTCAAAACATTCCGTTTTATACTTGGATATGCGTTTAGAAGAATTTTTCTATTTTAAGCCAAACTTTAACATTTTTCTTGATTTCTTGTTGACAATATTACCTATAGTAGCTTTAGATGTCAAAAAAAAACATGGGTTTCATGGTGTTTTGTAATAACTACATATGAATAATTTTCTTCAGAAACAGCAAAGATATAGGCTTCCATTCGTTGCTTCTTTAAACTGCCATTTTGCATGAAATCAAAACTGTCAAGTAGCAGATGATAATTAAGACTTTCAAAAATATAGCTCCAGTTAAAAGACAAATTTCTAAGCAGACAGACTTTTTTTATAGCAAAGCAAAATTGTCTAGAAAATGTGCTAATAGCATCTGTACATACATACATACATACTTAAGGTATAATGAAAAATATTCTTGGATGAATATATGTGGCCTGGCTGGCTTGAGAACTAATACCAAATTGGTTCAACATATAATATAGTAGACAAAACTAAAATTTCCCTAATTGTAACAAAATTAGCAACCAGCCTTTAACAATCCACAAAATTCAGATTGGTCAACACAAATAAATGTTAATAACTTCCTTATTCAATCTCAATTTAGATTTCCACTTATGATTTCCAAATTACTACCGAAAATAGATCTTGAGCAATTTCCCTTCAGCAATGAGCAGCTTAAGTTAAGAATCATAAGCTTCCTGTGGTTCAGCAGCAGTATGAGAACTCTACTCCATGCAACTGAGACCTGCATGAATTTCCAAATTTGATATATTACTGTGGCAGGAATCTATTTCATAAGAAAAATAAAAAGATATTCCTACGGCTTTAGATTATTCATAAGATAAGAAAAAGTTCTTATGTCTTAACACCATGTTTATAAAGAGTTTGTTGCTGGCATCAAACACACGGACAGGAGAAGATTTTTAACTTTATCAGAATTCTTATTCTTGCATGCAGGAACTCAGGCATCAATGATAACAATATTAAGTGATCTGCATCTTGTCAAATGGTCCAGTTGATCACCATACACAGTCTTCGACTACTGGGATTATCTAATAATCCTGACTGGCTGGAACATGAATCAAAGCTATTAAAGCATATAACAGGAATCTAAGGCACAGAAAATGAGCAGCATCCAAACATTTTGTATACAGCCATTACTGCTTAATAAGACATTTTCTACATTGTAGTAGTAAGAAAGAAGTACAAACAGGCCAATGGGTACTTGATTAATAACACAAATAAAATAAAATCTGATTTTGAGCATGAACAATATTAGAAACCAGATATAAATGATTTAAAAATATTTACCATTACAGTGCGATATATATTCAGAACTAATCATGGAGGAGGGGAAAAGAAAACTGACAAGCAACACTGCTTATTTAAAATTAAGAAAATCAAATCATTTACATCTGTATGAGAAATATTTTAAATGCTAGTAAGGCAAAAACAATCTCAATAAGTTTTCATACTTGTAACATTGTAATATGTATATTTACATTTAAAATGAATAATATTTCCAAAATGAAAAATTGAAATATATAACAATGAAATTAAAAATAATCCTGAATTCAAACAAATTTTATAAAAAAAATAACATTTAAACTAACATGCTTAAATATAACAATCTCAATATAAGTATGATTTAAAAAACATTGTTATCTAACCTCATCATTTAAATGGCAATCTTCAAGCTGCAGAGATCTAAATTGGAGTCGTTTGAATATTTCCTCCAAAGCTTCACAATGATGAGCATCTAAATTTTCACCTAAAACATTTCAAACTTAACGAAGGATTTTATTTAAATTTTCAAACATGTCACTCACAAGAACAATTATACTACTAGCTAATCATTTCAACTGAAATATGCCAGACAAATGATGAGTGCAAGGTCATCTACAAATTAAATTTAAGTATTCACACTCATAAACACTGCACAAAAAAAAAAAAAAAAAAAAAAAAAAAGGTGGGTGGATGGGACAGTTCTATCTCCAGTTCTACCGGGTCGATTGACAAAATTCAAATTGCGTTTTTCATGTCTCGAAAGTGCGACTTGGAATATATATTAGATTTATATATAGCACTAATCTAACATAGGTATTTTGACACAAAAGCGGACTTTTTCTGAAATAACATGCCAATTTTTTCCATAATTCGATTCTACAACTCAAATTATGCCAGACTGCCAAGTTTTGTAAAAATCGTACAAGTAGTTTTTAAAAAATTAGCTCTTCAATGTGAATTGAATTGGGCATATATTCATTAATATCTCTTTTTTTATTAAACTTTTTTGATTTTTCCTTTCACATTTTGAAATTTAGGTTCATTCCAAATAAAATTCACCCATTTTTTGTTTGATTTTTTTAAATTTCTATTTTTAAATAATTTTTATAAATTTTTCGAAAAAAATTTTGAATTATAACCTATACAATTTTTTCCGTTATCTTAAAGTAGGTGTATTTCTAAGCATACCTGCAAAAAATTCAGACTCTTTTATTCAAAATTTTCTAAGATATACACAAATTTACATATTTTTGCACGGTTTGAAAATTTGGCATCTTTTGTTTGAGTGATAATAACGCCAAATGTGGTTTATGGATTTTTGTTACAGTGAATTGCCACAGCTATTTTTAACCTTAAATTTCAAACAAATTTTTATCGGAGAATTAATTATATGAAATTTTTTCCCTCAATCACGCGTAATAAGTAATTTATTTATACTGTATGAAAAGATATTTTTTAAAATTATAGGTGATATTATTCAAATTTTAAAATCAAATTAAAAATTTCTGATTATTTTCAAATTCCTTTAACTTTTAAAAAAATATTTGTAAGAGTAAATTTTTACCTTCGCCGTATTATCGTCTGGTACTTTACTTTCAACTACATTTAAACTTGAATTGTCTAAAACTGAGAAAAGTTCGTTTGATGTTTATTTTCACAATGTTTTTAAGCAAACAGGATGTTGACAGTTTGGGTCATGTCCCCCCCTTTAAAAAATATATATATAAATATAAATATTTACATTAATCCTCTTAGAAAGAATGCTTTAAGTAGCTAATTTTCTCTCCTGTTATAGATCGTATAAAAAACATGATCTTTAATATGATTTAGATTGTTTGCTGCCGATATAATAATCGGGTCACTCGGTGGTACAGAATAAATACTGCTGGACTGTTTTATTTCTTTCACATTTAGCAAAAAATCTTATTATTAAAATATTTATCCTTTGGACTTTACTTTAAACTTTATTTACAGTTAAAAATGCTTAGAAAATGAAAAGCTGTCTTCAGCTGAAATGCAATTGATGTAATTGATATTTTAAAAAGTTTGACAAGAATTAAAAACTTTCGGAAGTGTAACAATAGAAAAAGCTTAATTTTTTTTATTTTTATTTATTTATTTATTTATTTATTTTTTTTTTTTAGTGTGTGTGTGTGTGTGAGTACTGAAAATAAATGCACTGAAAAGCAAACATTGGAAAGGCAATTTGGCTGCCAGAAATACCAAGGTGTTTCAAAAATTTGGATGCTTTTGAATATACTTTCAGGAAAGTTCAAAGAATTTGGGTGCTCAAAGAGAAAACACATGGACATGTATGTACAGCAAATACAATCAACTGAGATTGTGCTAATGGAAAAGACAAAAACATATATCATTGCAGATTAAAGTGAAAAGCGACTGGTTTTTGATTATATAGTTGTATAAATTTAAATTACATTAGAGAACATCATATCATCATAAACAGAGAAGCCCATGATTTCTTAGTGGAATTATTTGAAGATTCAGGAATTTATCGAGTGATGTATGTGGATGTCACCTAAAGACATTTTCCCTCTTCATGAAACCAGTCTTTCCTTTCATCTCATGCCTTCAAAATGCTTAGCCTCTAAAGACTGATAAAGGCTCTCACCAAATACTGATGAAATGGATTGAATTGGGTTTTTAAGTTATAGGAAAGCAGGGCTATCTGCCGAAAAGGAGGAACACCTTCGTGAAGAACGTTCTAAGGGAAACCAGCTGGCATATACATTACAATGAGAAAAATGAAGAAAACGCCCATGCAACCAATCCGTTTACTGAGATTCGAACCTCAGAAAGAACAAACTACCAGTGTTCAGCAACTTTACTGCTCGGCCGTTTGTGGGCCTTTATGAAATGGAAGGCTATAACTTTATTTGAAATGAATGTCAGAAATGCCAGAAATGCAGAAATGTTTCGAAAAGTTGGATGCTTTTTAATATACTTGCAGAATGCCTCAAAAAAAAAAAAAAAAAAAAAAAAAAAAAAAAAAAGGCCATTAGGAGAAAAAAAAATTTTTGCATAAAATTTAGTATTTGTTTAATTTAAGACTTTTTAATCTTATGATATTTTATTCTTGCGATTAAAAAAATAAATATTTGACTAAAATATGAATAACATTTTAAGAAACTAAATGTAGGATGAAAAAATAGCGTAAAGCAATGAGCACAATTGAGCACAATGTTAAAGCAGTTTAAAGCAATATATGCAAGTTATCTTAAGTTAAAATGTTGGTTATACATCTTTCTCATTTATATATCTTTTCTGAATGGAACATTGAAAGGCGTATAATTGTGCTTTACTGTATTTTCTCTTTTAATATATGTAGTTTTCAAATGCATTGTAGTCAGTCAGGGTAACAAAATATTTTTTCGAAAGCAATGCAATTCAAATAAATAAAATCAAATTCTGGAAAATTTATAATAAATATATTTAAAATGCTCAGTTCGTGAATGAATAGAAAATTAAAAAAAAAAAAAATAGAAATAGAAATAGAAAATTTTAAAATAATTATCTGAAGAGACAATGCAACACAAACAATTAAATAAAAGTCTAAAATTTAAAAATTACCTAAAATAATAACTATGACAAAAAAAAATATAAACAGAACTATCTGAAAAAAATAAACAATGCAACTTTTATTGAAACTACACAGTTCGAATGGGTAAATAGAAATTTTCAAAACAGTTATTCTAAAGAAACCACGCAACTTAAACAATTAAACTGAAATTCGAAAAAAAAAAATTACTTAAAATAATGATAATTATAAATAAAAATATAATATAAAGAACATTATTTGAAAAAACGAACAATTGTAACTTTTCTTCCGTTCACTCACGATGTGAAAAGGAAAATAGGTTGCCATATACTGAGAATTTCACTACATGAGCCATTCTTGGTGCAAACGGAAAAAAAAAGTGCCAACATAAATTTATGAATTTCTCTGTAAATTTTGCACCAAATTTTACAAAATTTCATATTTAGACGTAATTTGAGTTTCAGAATCGAAATACGGAAAAAAATTGGTATGTTAGTTCAGAAAAAGTCCGATTTTGTGTCAAAATACCTATGTTAGAATACAGCTATATATAAATCTAATATATATCCCAAGTCGCGCTTTCGAGACATGAAAAACGCAATTCGAATTTTGTCAATTGGCCCAGTAGAACGGGAGATATAGAACTGTCTCAATTTTTTTCACAGTGTACATTACTTACCAGTGCTTTGAACCAACAAGTTTATCGACATTAATATGTATAAAATATTAAGCAAAGTTATCTGTGATGAATAACAATTTTGTTGCACTGTCTTTTATAAGTCAAGAATCACAGAAAGCTATTAAACTTTATACACTGATTGGCCAAAAATTAAAGACAACCTTTCTTTTAAAAACTAAACCAGCCTGATAGGAAGGAAACAACCAAAAATTTCTTGCATATGGTTCATTTTAAAAGGTAATAGTTACCATAATATTTAGACTGAGAAAGAGGTAAGATAAAAAATTTGAGTGATTTTTGAATGAGGTATCGAGTTTGAAAGATTTTGATTGTAGGTCGAATAAGGCTTAGTATCAGCATTGGCTAACGATCTATGCTTTTCTCATGCTACAAAATGGTTTAGAGTGGCAAATAAGAAAAAATTCTTTAGTGATAATTTTGACCATAATATGCTAGCAAACACAATGTGGCGGCCATAAATTACCTACAGTTATTAACACTCTTTGAGGCTATGCCCCAAGGAATAGCAAATGTAATCAGAGCTAAAGACAAATAAACACATTGTTAAGAGATGTCTCAAATATCTTGGCTACTCAATGTAAATGTTAACAAACTTCTCAGATCATCAGTTTGAAATGTTATATCTCACTCCACTCTTCCACCTACTTCACAAAAAAAATTTCTTTCGCAAACATACAACATCAACATCCAATATGCCAAAATCACGAAACTTGGGTACTGGTGATTCCTTTTTAAAACAGTCCTATATAATTTTGATATACTTCTTGTATTAGATTGTTTTATTTGCACTTCTGGCACAAACTTTGAAGAATTATTTACACCCATGGACATGGGTCCTAGACATGGACATTATTCAAATCATATATCTTTCGTTCAAATTAAAAATGAACTGGAAAACAAGAATGCTTGCGTTTAAAAATCAAGAATAAATTCATCAGCCCTTTCTTAGCTTTTGATTACTACTGCTAATCTTTAAATAAAAATTTTCATTTGAAAATCCGAAAGCTCAAGTAAAAATATAACTCTAATAAGGGTTTAATCAAATTTAATTTTCAAAATTTTACATTTGCATAAAAATAGAATTGTTGTGACTTTTAAGCCTGCATAGTATTCAATAGAGAGAGACTTATATCACTATAATCTAACATATATTTTGTACTTTGAAATTTTTTGTATCGTTTGCCCGTTACTAAATTTTGCTTATGAAAATTCTGCCACCTTTTTGGTTGACTGGGTGCCATACAATGATATCATTATAAAAGAACAGGAAATGAACATTGATCCAGCAATTTTCCCTTTAACTTTTCCAATTATTTTTTAAAGAAATTGTTCTTTTCTTTCTCTCTCGTTTTTTTTTTTTAAAGAAAGAAAGAATCAATATACATCACATGTGCCAAATCACAGAAAAGAAGTAGATCAGAAAGGTAAAGGTATCATCTTGAAAGAATGTTCAGAAAACCACAAAATAAAATTGCATTTTATTACTATTGAAGTATTGAAATGGTACTGTTCAAACACTCAATTAAAAAGTTCAAACACTCAATTAATTCATGTTGTAGAATTATGTCAAATGCAAATAGGAATTCATCAATGCACAACTGCAGACTGGCATAATTACAAGTTTTCTTGTTTGTGAATTTTTATATCTTCATTCATTTGGGATTTTATAAAATAACTGTTCTTTTCATGAAACTGAATATATTGTCAGCTTTGCTCTGGGTGTCCAGTTTGACTTGATATTAACATTTAGATGTGGCACCAAGTGGTGGTATATTCATCACAAGTTTCCAAAATTTTATACATTTCTTCAAGCATACTCATCATACATTTCAATTTGCTGCAACTGCTGAATTTACAAGCTAAATGTAGATTTTATTTGCTTTTCTCAAAACTGTATATTTAGCTTGCGAAATAAAAATAATCACAACTACTTTGATGAGTTTTTAAAATTTGAAAATAAAAAAGTTACCTTTTAAATTCAATTCAAATTCAAGATCAGCACTCATCTGCACTGCCTACAATGAAGAATGACACATACATTGTAAAAGTATGATATAAAAACATGAAGATACACACAGAGAAAAAAAAAGAAGATACCTGAGTAATCTGCACTTAATTTCTAGGAAAATGACCTTCAGATATCATTAATATTTAGAAAAAATAATTATTATCACTACCAACAATAAAAAAGAATATTTTTATTATAGAATGACATAATAAATAAGTTCCATTGAACTTAAAATGATACAAAATTTAAACTGTCAAAAATACTTTTACAAATATTATACATAGATACATAATTTTAGTGCAATTATATGTGAAATTGTTGTATTTTTCTGTGTAATGCAATACGAAAATCTACAGAAGCGAAGCTTGCCAGAAAAGTAAGAATACAGGGGCAAGTCTACTTAACATTGAGCAAATGGCTATATCATTAAATTGGCGATGAGTAATTTCTGGCAGCAAATCTGGCACAAAATCACCAAAAGGCATCCATTTGGTAGCATTTAGGTCTGGTCTCTGTATCACCACAATAGGTATTGTAATTGTTATTCTGCATAGCTGTAAGAGTAATTTGGCACTCATATGCCTTCCAGTAATTTCGAGAAACAGCAAATATTAGAAATATCTCAGCAGCCAGACATATATAAGACAGGAGAGATCATCTGCTCTGTTGTTGTAGCTGTAAGTTCAGAATGAGTACTGAGATATTTCCCAGTTAGTTTTGCTGTTCAGATGCACTTTGCATTACATTGTGTTTAACATTCTTAGTAGTTTGAAGTGTAACTACTGATTGTTACTCTGTGATACTGAAGAGTTGTACGACTATGTTTGTGGATATCTCCAGAACAGTGAGCTGTTCTTTTGGTAAAATAAATTTTATCAAACTATCGTCAATTCTGTATGCATTCAATCTATTACCAACCTGTACACAAGCAACAACATATTAAAAAGAAATCAGCAGAAAATTGGAACAAAGAACAAAATAAATGAAGACCAAATTTTGCTAATAATGAATATTTCAGATATAATTTGAATTTTAAATATAAAATCAAATTGTGACTGAAATATGCTACTAATAATTAAATTACTAATTATTGTTTAATTGGCTATTCATATGTTGTAACTCACTTGTAACTGTTGTAGTACTCTTTGCAAAGGTTTAACTCCTTGCTTCCAGCATGCAGCACGATAAGCAGCTACAATGTTGTCAGTAGTTACAGCAAATTCTAAATCAAGACAATCATTAAAAATATTAATTCTAACTGTTATTTGTACAGTAACAGTGTTCAGTGAACTGCAAGGTATCAATAATTAAAAATCTTCAAAACTTTATTAGAAAGAAAGGAATTCCAAAATAATATGACATAATTCCATAACAAGGTACTGCTTGAGTTGAAAAACACCAAAACGACGGTAATGCCAAACGTGGTTTTTATTTGTCTTTAATGTTTTATCACATAATTCCATAACAGGCGACTGCTCGAGTTGAAATGCACCAAAATGGCAATAATGTCAAATGTGGTTTTATTTATCTAAGATGTATTATGACAATTATGCAGCTATACTCTTTCCACTGAATTTAAAAGTTCTTCCTCATTCCTTTCAAAATACATTAGCTTTAAGAGGAATAAGAAGTATTTCTTCAGTTCATGTAAATTCATAGATGAGGAGTATTCCATGTTGTTAATAGATAAGGCGTATTTCACAAGAGAGGGTATTTTCAATACTCATAACAACCATGCACGGTTGATGGTGAACCCATACGTGATATGTACTCAGGCTGCACACACACGTTTTATGCTAAACGTATGAGCTGGCACTGTAGATGATCCCTTCATCAGGCCATATAGGGTTCGTACACATTTCTGTGCATGAAAATTAAGTACTTTTAAGGGTTAGAGTAGATTGAAGGGTGCCCCTTGTATTATCACAAAGTTGTTTCATTTATGGTAACTTGAGTACTTGAATGCTATAGAAGCCCTATTATAACGTAATCGGTTGCGTGACTGTGATAAATTTTGAATGATGGGAAAAGATTTGTAAAGACTTGTGGTGCGTGCTGGTTAGGAAGTACATTGCTTGTTTTGTGTTTTAGATGGTAGAATGGCTGAATGTGGTAACATTAATCTGAAGTTTCTCTATGATTTGCAACAAAAGGAGAAAACAGCATTAATTGACTGGTGTGTAAATGAAGGTTTACTTAGTAGCCATTATAAGTCTCTTGTTTGTAGAAAGGAAATGCATATGGTTAAACACCGGAGGATATTTTTTACTTTGATTTTTGTGAATTTATGTGGTGATGCCAATATACGGATTCTAGTTCATATAATTTTAGGGATACTGTTAAGGAATTTTGTGTGCCACAGACTGAAGATGCAGAAATTTCTAAATAAGGTAAGTGGATATTTGTTTTGTGTAGTGCTTAGATACATAAGATAAATTGCCTTCTTTATGTTATTTTCTTGTTGATTTAAAATATAGCTTATTGAGGTTATGTATTTTTTGTTTAGCTCTACTGTAGAAGTGGGTGCTCCTTTGACTTTTTAAATGAAAATAGATCGATGTTTACATGGACAAAGTCAAGGGTGTGTGCAATGACAACTTTGAGCAAATATCTGATGTTTTTTAAGTGATGTGTACACGGATACCCAGCTTGTGTAGTAACGATTTTTTCACCAAAAATTGCTGCTACACAAAGACAAAATAACAAGTCAAAGAATTGCACAAACTCGGTATCCATGTACCACCCAAAATTGCCAAGGGGCACCGTAAATATATTTTTACCCTATTAAGGACTCTTAATGAAAATAAAAATTAAGGACTTAATCAGCAAATTGGAAGTGAATAAATTCAATTAAAGATATTATCTATGACTGAATTCCACTTTTGTAATACCACCTAAGAATAAAATCGATCTGTAAGTAGGATGCATTATTATTAAGCATAATTATAAAACAAATATGAGAATAAAATCAACTTTGTAAAATTTATCAAGTAACATTAAATATTTTACACTTACACTTAGTTGGACATATTTTAATGAAGATTACTGACATTTTATTTACGTTTTACTAACAGTTAGTTTTGTGTAGATTTTTTCTTTTATGTCTCATTTCATCACGTACTTGCTCAGTTTAGAGGATTTAGTAAATAGCAGGCAGATTTTATATCAAACAGCATAGGTTAAAATGAAAAGTAAAATCATAATTAGAATGATTCATAACAGAAGATTGGCTGTTGCCACCGCTGCTGCTTCTCTAGAGAGAGACCTGCACTGGAGAACTTACATGGGGAAAAACTCTTACCATGAAAAAACAAAAAAGACTTTTTAAAATAATTGCACAACTGTTTTGCTTCTGCTAAGAACTGTTTCATAAATTGTGCTTCATAGCATTTATTATCTTGTTTATTTTTCAGATTCAAAATACTGTAATAGTAAGTCAACTAAATGGAAAGTAATGCCATTTTATAATACGACAGGGAAAATATTGTTTTATTTTAATGTTATTTCTTAGATATAATTTTAATATATTATCATTATTTTAATGAAATTTATCAATGTTGTAATATTTTTAAAAAAATCATCAAAAAATTCACAAATTCTGAAGTAAAATTTTTGTATAGAAATTGATCTTAAAATCACCAAAATGTTTTACCAAATTTAGACCCGGTTAATAAAGGAATTCACATACCCTAAAGGCAAACATTGTTTATGAGCTCTTTATTAGAAAAATAAATAAATAAATGCTTGTTTCACTTCCTGCTCAGAAAATCAATTATCACAGCATTTATATTAGAAATCAGAAAAAATTCAAATGATTACTCATGAAATAATATTTGTCAGTGAATTACCAAAAAATGTTCCTCTAAAATGCTGATTCACACTCAAAATGACAGCCGTAAAAACAGACAGAAATTTCAGATGATCAAAATTAAGGACCTTCAACCAATTTTTGCCAAAACAAGGACATTAAAGAACCAAAAATTGATTTTTTTTAAAAAAAAAAACCTAAGGACTTTTAAGAACTCTTAAGGGGGCCATATAAGTTCTAGCTATACCTGTTGCCTGAAAGGTGCAGATTACTTGATATTCTTAGTACAAGTGTTACCAGAATTATTGGACAACACATACACTTCCATTGCAACACATCCTTCCCAGTGGTACCAGCATGACGGGGCCCCTGCCCTTTTCAGCTTTTCTGTACATAACCACTTTGGCCAAGGGCAGATCAGTCATATGGTCCGGTGAATTCATCTGCCTGATTGCCAGACCTAGTATGTACAGATTACTTCATTAGGCCATATGGGGGGGGACTTATAAAACCCCTTGTCTACTAAACACAGTTGACAGTGCCAAAGACCTTACAGCATGCAACACTGCAACTGGCGGAGAAATCCAAGACACTTCTGGAATGTTTGAGACTGTTCGAACTTACATGCAGATGTCATTAACTTTGACATGAGTTGTACTTCCCTTTTGCTACTTATGTTTTTATGTTTATGAACAGTGAGTAATAAACACCTTTTTCTCTCCTACATTGTATCCTTATCTTTCCTTGTGCTTTACGTTTAAAAATTGTGAAATGAAGCCTTGAAGCAAGCACGCTTGTAACAGACATGACTATTCAATACTGCATCAAGAAAGCGTTTCCGAACCGGAATTTCTATGTGATTCCAAGTTGTCTAGATGTACCCTACTTCCTGTTAAACTGGGTAACATCTTAGTTGGACACCCTGTATAGCTCGTGATTTTGTGCCACTTACATGGTCCATGTTTTCACAGGTCATTCCAGGCATAAGAATACCTGATCTTCATACAACTGATTGAGAAAAACTTCAGCTACTACTCATATTGTCAAAAGTTGCATGATGAACAACAAACTCATTTCCAGAAAGAACACTTAGGCAAACTAGTTCAAGGAGCCTGTGAGAACAGTCGATCTCTAAAAATCAGTGAAGTACTGCTGGTTGGCCAAGATAATGTCAAATGGCAACATTGGCCTTCGGTCAGGGTGGAAAAGATTTTCCCGATCAGAGATGGTTAACTCTCAGACAACCTAAGTAAAAAATGAAAACCGATACTTTGGTGCATCCTTTAAAGAAATTATATTCAATACAGATTTCGGAAGAGGATCTGATTGTGCAAGCCATTCCTGAAAGGTTTCCCAAATTTGGTTGTTGAATAAAGATTACTCAAAGGCTAAATTTATCGACAAAAAACTGAAACACTAAACTCCAGACTCTTGAACATTTTCAAGTTTTTTCCCATATTGTTGCTGCTATAAATATTTTTTGTACACTTCTTTAAATTTTGTATATTTTTATCTGGATAGTAAAGAACACCTAATTTTTGCTTCTCAATGTTGTAAGTAACTGCATAATGCAATGCATCTCATTATTTTGTGATTGATTTGTTACCACTAAGTCAATCAATGGGGAGAGGATGTTATATTTAAAGGCATCCACAAGTAGAAAAGTTTGTTTACTGTAAGAGACAGACTGGTGCCATAGGACAAAGCAGAAGTTTTTTGGTTCTGTATCAAGAACAAAGACATTACACTTTATGTTAGAATATTAAAGATGAAAGATGATTTTCACTAACTGTCATGCATAGTTAATTTGGATAATAAAGAAAGAAGAGGAAGATCTATTTAGTTATTGCTTGTTTATTTTCTGAGTAGTACAAATTTTTGACATTATGGATATGTGATCCTTTTCACAAATAAAGCAGCTTTTGTTCTGAACCTAATAACACAGACCCACAATGAGTAGTTTGAAGTTATTTGTACCCAACATATACCAAACAAATATTTCTCTCCAAAAGTTGTCAATGAGTTCACAACATTTTGGTCAAAAAGATACCATACCTGTGAAAGTTCTTCACATGATAATCCTAAAGATGAAATTAGCCCAAATTATCCTAATGGTTATAAAGAAGTGTAATATTAATAGCGGTTACAAAAGTACAGGTTGGAAAAAGTTTTGAAGCTTACATTTAGTTACATAATTATGAAATGTTTACAAAAAAAAAAAAAAAAAAAAAAGGTTGGAAAAAGTTTTGAAGCTTACATTTAGTTACATAATTCTGAATAATTGTTAATTCACTATAACATGGTATTTTGAAATTTTCATGTTCTCCCTCCCCATCTTTTTTCTCATGAATAATTATATGCACATGGATCATGATAATTTGCAATTATATGTATATAGGATGCAAGGTTAAAAG